AAAACTAGCAGCAGTTCAGCGGACAGGATGAATGAATTGTAGCCGGCGCGCACAGATGACGTCATACACGCGCCGCTTCATTTTTAAAAGATAAAAATATAAAAAATATAACCGCAGATGTCAGGGGGACAGTGATTCGCCTACATGTCATGAATGCTGGCGTACTATAAATAATAAATTATGAACAGTTTAGTTTGTGCCTTCAACTCGTTGACCATAAGAAGACGTTATAGACGTTAACGGAATATCTTCAAAACAGCTCCAAATGACACAAAACTAATATGGGTGAGTAGAACATGATGTAATAACGTAAAATCACGGGCCCAATGTAAAAAAAACAGCGTTTTCCTTTAATTTTGGGAGATCAGTCATCGGCCGATACCTTGATGTGAAACCAATCTTTCCACCACTCAAATCTACCTCTGTAAAGGTCTGAAAAACACCCCCAGTTACTACTTTGAACTTTAATTTATATTTGAGAGTAGTTATTTCAGAAGTTTTTTTTTTTCACAGGCATTTTGTTTTTTTTAGTAAGATAATTTAAATATCTTGTGTCTTGTGATCTTATAACAACTGTAAGTGCCAGTTATAAAAAGAAATGTGTATTGGTGATCAGCCAGAAACCTGTAATCGTTGTATCTCTATTATTTATTTAGTCTCTTGTCTTTTGTTTTCTTGTGGCAGGACTTGGTGACGGCGGCCCAACCTCAGGCTGCAGCATCCAGTCGCAGCCATCCTTTGATTTCTGCAACCCTGCCACTCCAGGCCAGCAACAGGGCCAGGGAGACCTCTTTCAGACCCCCAAAGACAGCAGCCCTTTTCCAGAGACAGAAGTTCTTAACCCCTTTGCTCCTAGCTCAGGTACTCCATACCTGTGAACTTTTCTCTGACTTATTATTTTTCTACAAATCTGTTTAACTGTCTTACAATCAGATATTACTACCAAATAAAAGTTATTGGATTCTTTTTCAGGGCTAACGAAGATGGATGTGGGAGATTCTCAGTTCCAGCCTTTGGCTCTGTCTGACACTCTGTCCTTTGATGGACTTGGAACTCCTTTACAGACGTCTTTATCGTCACCTCAAGAGTAAGTATGATGACAGGATTTTGATCCACAGACTGCTTGATCTGTTGGTTTATTAGTTCTTGCTCTAGAGTGATTCCACCCCTATTTTTCTTACTGAATATTCAGTGTTTTTCATGTCAAAGTCAAAGAGTCTGCAATGTCAGGGTGCCACAAGGGTCACTCTTGGGACCTATTCTCTCTTCTTTTTTTTATCTAGACGATAAAATCAGGCTTTTTTTTTTTAAATCATTTGTATTCTGATAATGGTTGCCCTAATATTTAAACTTGTCCACCGTACTATACTATTTTGCTGTTATAACGCAGTCCCACAAATACTTGTATCTGATGTATGACGAAAAACAAAACTTTAGATAAAGACTGTGAGAGCCAAATACCTCAAATTAGGTAAAATTTGTGCTCTTTGTCAAACTAAACCTCAGAAACTTTTAGGTTTCTCTTTGTTGTTTGAGTCGGAAACTTCAAACTCTGTTGTCAGCCAATCAAAAAAGTTTTTTTCTTTTAACTATAAACCAGTTTTAGTTGTTATCCTACATGTATTGTCTTTTGTGCTATTGTAAATCACTTTAGTGGTGCTTGACCTTTAAAAGTCCTTTAAATTGAGTTTAAATTCAGAAAGGTGAGAGATTCTGATTGTGTTTCCCTGAGCAGGCAGTGTGTGCCCTGTACGCTGGACGAAGAGCTGGGACCCCCGACCACGCCTGAAGCCCGTAACGATGAGAAGGCTCTGATTGAGCAGCTTGTTTCCTTTCTGAGCGGAACAGATGAGAGCGAGCTGGCTGAACTGGACAAGGCCCTGGGTATCGACAAACTGGTACAGGTAAGACATTAAACACTGTAGTATAAATGAGAACAGAGTGAAGCTGCTTGAGAATGCAGCCGGGTCTCTAATAATGGCCTATCTGGGTGTCGGCGGAGGTAAATAATGGCCGGACTCGTATACAGGCCGGGGCTATAATTAGAACCAACAATGTTCCTGGGCAGTCCTCAAAGACTTGTGATAGTAACATACAAGTACCACAGGGGGGCAGTGTTTGCTAACGAATCCAAGCCATTAGCATGGGAAGTCCCATCCTTAGCGCAGACAGTGCTGGAGACAGGCCGGCTTGTTTGGTTTTTATGACCGAAATTATGACCCAGGAGTATAACCAGCCACACGATCGTCCTGATCAGAAAGACTAATGTGATTAGCGGTAGGTCTGGTGGTGACCAGACAGCGTTAAAATGACAGAATTTCGTTGGCCTTCGTTGTTCTGAATTTCCCTTGAAATATATGATACTGGTTGCCTGCCTACTTCCACTTAGCCTGCCTAAAAAGAATTTCGCTGTGATGGTAGAACAGTTTCCGGTAATTTATTTTTAAACTTTTTTTTGCAAACCAGTTTGGCCAGGATTCCATTTTTTTCATATTGCCGTGCAGAAGAATTACTGCTGCTGGAAGATGTTTGTATACCGTTACGTAACTGTCCTTTTCAATAAATGAACCTAGTATTTTATAGGTTCAAAGTGACAGAAAATCTGTTTTTTATTCATTCCAGTGGTAGTTTGTTTTGATCAAATAGAAATACAGGCCTGCCTCTAATTCTGGCCTCCTTCCAATAATGGCCTGGACCAAGATGCTCCTGAGTGAAACAAAGGCCCCGGCCTATATTAGAGGATTTACGGTATATTTTAAACATGTTACAGGTCAGAATCTTTACTTAGATTCATGCTGTTCAGTGAGAAGTTTACAACATATAGTATAGTAGTTTTAATGGTTTATTTAAACAGTGTTTACAGATAATACTATTAATATAATGTGACTTTTCTAGAGAATCATTATACAGTTATTTTATACAGGGTTTCCACATTCTTAAATAATTCCCTGACTTTTAAGTGACTCAGGATTAGTTTTCCCTGATAAAATAAATGCAGC